TTTTTTTTTTCAAATTAGTTGCGTTCCAGATGCTTCACGATATTCACGAAATTCACGATTTGCAGGAACAGCTGTTTTCTCCATTAATAAACCTTATGGGAGGTGGTCACCTGGAACGACTTCCTGTAAAAACCTGCAAATCGTAAAGCATCTGGAACGCAACTATTATTCGTAGGGACACGAATTTCGATACGATACGATACCATATCGATACTTTTGGCATTCGATACCGATATTTTCTACTCGATAGTTTTAAAACGATATTTTTTGGAATCGAGTACCAGAACCCTAGTATCGTATCGAATGTCATATAGCGTTTTCTTTTCTCAAAAAAAGTTCTGCCCTTTTATGTGGGAATTCTGGCCTGTAAGTCTTTAGTAATTTTAAAGCAAATACTTATTTCTGATACGGAAAATAATTGTAATTTTACAAGCGTAAATTAAAAATCAACCGTGCAACTCTCACACTCACGTTTATTTGAGGGCTGAAAAGGCAGCACTTTTGCCGGATCAGAGCGCAACCTGCTGAGAAAAGAACACGACGCCTTGTGAAAGGACTGAGAAAAGAACATGAAAATTTGACAACGTTAACTCAAGGCAGAATAAGTGCAGCCTTTTTTCGAGAAAAGAAAACGCTAATAAACTCACATTCCAACACTGAGGGAAAAAAATTTTAGAATTAAAAAAAACGTGCTAAATTGAAAAAAATACGCATATGAAAGAGCACCAACCCAACTCGTTTTAAATTTGAGTATATACGTTATAAAATATGCGGTTGTTAAGTGCGCAGATGCTTTTTCGTAATTAAGAAGAAAAAAAAATTAATTTTATGTTCCGTCTGATGGTAATTGAACCGGGACCCTCTTGGCCGCAGCAACCAATTGTATCAAGCGTCTTTGCACACTCAGCTACAGCTATACATGTAAAGGTGTTTTCAAATGTTGAGTTTGAATTAACATCACAGCGCGCGATTAGTGCATTATGTCATACCACATATGTATGTGTTGTCACCGCTGTGCATGCTTTGTATACATATACTTTCTTAATTACATATGAAAAAGCATATGAAAGTGAAATATGCTTCATTTTAATACGGGCGTATTTGAATTGAATATTTCCATTATATGTACGTAGTGTGTGTATAATGGAAAAATCCATTTTGCTGAGACTTTTCACTTGATTTAAATACCAACATTTTTAAACGGTAATCAAATAAAAAATTGTTATTCTTACAACGCGCTTTTTTTTCTCAGTGAAGGATAATGGTATTAAAAGCTCAACCTAATATTACCGGCGAGAGTTTTTCTACGCACGCACGCAAGTTTTTCTCATTTGATAAGCCCAAATCAATTTGCGTGCGTGATTTCTCAGAGTTGCATTTCTGTCAAAATTACAGAAGTTTGCCGAGAAAAATTGGAATTCATAGTCGCGCCAAAATGCGAATTGAGCATAAACATCAAATCGAAATGTCACGCAAGACAAATCTTGGAATATGAGTTAGCTTTTTACGCACGCATATAAGGTTGGCCTGTAA